TAAATTTTGTTTATTAATTGGTGCATTTCGTTTTTATGATTCATATATTTATTTTATGAAAGATGATGTTATATTATATTTTGTTTTTATGTAAATAAACTATATATTATATGTACCCATGCGGTAGTTTTTATAACATCGTTTATTATAATATTTTATCTCACTCCCCATCACCCTCCATATACCGAAGATATCGTTATATAGTAAGAGATAATACGGATAAAAATTTTTAAAACTAGACTCTGATATTAAGATTAATATTTTATACTTTTATTTAGTAATGTAAGTAAAAAAATTTAGAGTATCGTACATATGTTTATGTTTTGCATTTAAGGGTTGTAACACTTATACGACTCTGTTATGATTAATAAAGTTATAATATTTTACTTAACTCGAGTCTATATAATTTAAGTAAGTATGCTTCAGTCATTACCCCATAAGATGATATATGATCCATGACAACACATTTTTTGAAAATAGTTTTATCCAATAAGTAAAGGTTTAGCACAAATACCATCTTGAATATTTAAAAATAGTAAATAAAATCGATTTGAATATTTAAATTTGGTAAAACTCACTATAAACTTGTTCCGTTGCCATATATAGTTATAGTAAACTATTGTATCAAAGTATATACGTATCTAAATTATAAATATATACTTAATTTAGTTATTATTTAATTGTGATTGATTGTTTAAAAAATTTCACTATGCATAAAGAGAAAATAAACAAAAGTTTGTTTACATTTCTTTTCCTTGTAGATCATCAAATTGCTGTATTATTAAACCTCATCAATAATACAAAATATTGTATAAGATTCAAATATTTTCATAAATAGATAGGAATAAAAGCATCACAATTTAAAACGATCTATACGAATATGTTTCGAGTACTATTCATGCACTTATATTCATTATTTTAAATAATTATATTTATTTTTTTATTAAATAATTGATATAACGTTTTATGTTAGATTAATTATATTCATAATTTGCGGTTGATGTTTAAGATAAGAAGTGTGTATATTTTTTTAGAAGTTTTGTACGTATATTAGTTACAAGATTT